AACATATAGAGCAAGTAAAACATGTTGATATTCTGACATAATTTAGATGGAGCTTGACTGGGTTATGAATTTTTTAATTTTATTCAAAAATAGGCAAAAATGGCTTATCTCGTATGATATAGGTTTTTGAAACTTTTTTGAAAAACAAATATTGCCTCGAGATCCAGTGTGATCGATTACCTATCTTTGCATTCGTTGTTGGAATTACCACTTCTAAAGAAATAGGGACTCTCAGGCAATCCGATGCCATGCCTAAACCATGAGAAACTAAGAGTTTGCTTAGTTTCTGTATTGGAGAGGACCAGAGATGGGCGAGTGCGAGTCGACTCGAGTCACATTTTTTTAATGACTCGGAACGACTCAGACTCGAAAATTGGATGACGTTGACTCGAGTCATTCATTCAAAAAAATTTAATTTGCTCTTATAAAAAGTCACAACTTATAAGATTAAATTTTCACTTATTCGTAACTTACGTCCTGATTGGATACATATGTTCTGTCTCGTTCTGTTTTGTTTCGACTCATCTTTGAAGTGTGTATATTGTGTCAAAATTATACCGGCGGATGACATTGTAACTTCGTTATCAACTTTGAGTCAAAATTGTTAATGAAGTTACGATTGTGTCCACTGTGTCAACTTGACACATCGTGTACAATAAAGTAGATGAAGGCTTTGCATTGCATCATACATCATATTCTCTATAACATTATAACATTTGGATTTTAACATCTTTAAAAGCGCAATAAGACATTAATTTAAATGTTAATAAAAAATTGTTGCTTGTAAAGAACTTTACAATTTTGTTTTTCTTTATAAAAAAATGATGTTCTTTCTATTGTGTTGAGTAACTGTATAAAAGAGAATAGTTGATTTTGATGTTCCTATTTTGTTTATAAATCTATAGTACTTGTGTCATTTCATTTCATGTAGGACTTTGTTTTTTTTGCAAATTAAAAACTAGGAACTAAATATTGTGTCACGAAAAACTTGTTAATTTTCTTTATAAAAATATACAGAAAACGAAAAAATGGTCGTTTTTTCTTTGTTAATTTGTAGAGATCATTTTACCTCTATAACAAACAATGAGAAAGATGAAAAATCGCATTGTTATTTAGTAATCATAACTATTCTCTTCAAGAAAATAAAATGTTGTTGTTCCGACGCAGTTCCAAAGTTAGTGAGATAAAGAAACCGTTTTGCGAAGAACGCCAAACACTTTATTAACATCTTTCTGTAGGTTATGGTCTGATATACACGTGTGACTATATCTTTTCACAGTTTATTTTTTCTTCGAGGCTTTTAAGAAACTTACTCAAAAACCACCAATAAAACGCTTTTTTAACAAATAAAAACTAAGCCATTAAAAGGACGAGACTTTGCTCTATTTATTTATTGTGTTTAGTTTGACAAAAATCAACATTTCTAACGGAATGATGTGCACCCGAAGCAAATTAAATAATATTATGCTAGCCACATATAATAAAGAATCAAAAAAGGAATGTTGAGTACCTCGTTTGACTGTATAAGACTACGTGTTAAGGAAAGACAATGTTTACAGTTAAAATGAATAATAATACGTTTACGTTGTTGCAAATAATAAATGTCAAAATTTTGCTAACATATAACAAAAACATAATAATACATTGACGTTCCAAATCAAAAATCGACTCATGCCCAATTTATAAGTAATTTTATTATTAATTGTTTTATCATTTCCCATTTTGCAAGGAAACTATTAGAAGAAGAATAGGAATTCTATTTCATAAGCCTAAATGTCTTCTAATTAATTAATCGTAATTGTTAGAGTGTATAAAAGAACTCTATAATCGTAAGTTTTTCGATCAAATAGTTTGTAATCTAAATCTTTGAATCGGTATCGTCCCGATTCGTCGACAAATCGACACTTCAAAGAATATACATCAAAGAATTTCAAAGGCGGGAGGGGCGGTGTGAGAGTGAGTGTCGACGAATCGGGACTGAATCTTTGAATCTAATCTAGTTTAAAGCATCATAACCGCACGTTGATTGTGACGTTATATAAAGGAAGAATGATATATCAGAAGAATATTTTCAGTGTAAATTCTAGAATTTGTTCGGTGTCTTCAATTTACGTTCAAAGACAAATAATGCTGCCGAAGATTATTATCGAAAGCAAAATTTGTAAGTACATTTTGAAATCTATAGCTTAACTATAACTTCATAACTCATTTTTCCATTCCCACACGTGTACTGTAGAGCCTTGCAGGTCACGCATAATCGGTCCTAACCGGCCAGGACAGGGCAGGTTAGGATAGGTTTAGGTTACGACTTCGGAGTTTACGATAGGTTATAGGTTACACTACCCGTATCCTGTTCTCAACCTGTAAAAAAAATATTAAGCGCCATCTGTAAAGAGGAAGGAATAAGCATTCGAAAAATAGTTTTTATTAGTCAAAAAAAATATTTAGTGCATCAGGAAGGGTGCTGGAAAGACGAAGACAGTCGTTGAATCCAGACATTATTGATCATATATCACTGATCACAAATTTCACATGTCAGAACAGACGCAGGACAGAACAGAGCAGGTTAGGACAGGTTACAAGGTATAATGTTATGAAAGGTTATAGGTTATTAAAGCTTTTACAGGACAGGTTATAGGTTATGAAAAAGTTGTAACCTGCAGGGCTCTGGTGTACTGGCTCATCTCAACGTTTATCGTTGGACAGAACATATTCGAAAAGATATTGCGCACACATATCGTTGTAAAAAAATTTATATTTTTCTTTTAATTACTTTGCTTGAAAAATGGGAAGCAGCCTTCTAACAAATATCATCCGGAATTAAAATGACAAACGACAAATTACAATATTATATATAATTAGTAAACATATGAGTATCGGGAGTGAGAAAGAGAACGTATTTGCAATTTTGCTTAAATCGAATCAAACATTCGATATATCAGAAACCGATTTTTTTCTAGCTAACGTGTCTATTAGCAAACTATAAATAAAACTCAACCGATTTTCTATGATTCATTATAGTTCAGATACGTCGATGATATATTGTCTATGTTCAAATCCAATAAGAAGATAGATACTTTTCTACCGAGAATTAATAGACCACGATTCGATTTTCAAAACATTTTCTTTTCCTTTGCAAAAAGATTTGGTCACACATTTATGTCAGACCATAATCTACAGAAAATGTCAATAAACTGTTTGCTTACCTCACTAACTTCGAAACTGCATCGGAACTTTTTTTTTGTTTTGAAGAGAATAGTTATGATTACTGAACAACAGTACGATTTTCATCTTTCTCATTTCTTGTTACAGAATTTAAGACTTGTGAAAAAATTGAGTACTGTTGTACTGTGGATATGAATCAACGGCACTTTCTCAACGTATCAAGAAAATTTATGAAAAATCGCTAGCACTTGTTCAAGTCAAGATCGAATTTCGAAAAATATTTACGTTGAAAACTATTTTTCTACCTGTAGTGCACGGAAAAGATGAAAGCGAATAAACAAACAAAAAAAATTGATAGATCAAATTATGTGCAAGCCAGGCAAGGATTATTATAAAGAAATATGGATAGATAACATGATTCGAAAGTTGTAACATGAAACAACTACTATTACTCTCTTAACATGAGAATCAAAATCGATATTCTTTCGATTTGACAAAGTTGACATTTTAGGTCTGATGGTGGACTGATGTTGACGAGATATTAGAGAAAGCTACTCACACATCAAAACTAGAACTATAGGAATTTGCTTAACCCATTGCCCGCTGACGACATCATTGAATAGAACAAATTGGGCTACTGATATATCAGTGGACAGCGTGCAATGTGTTAATGCAGACATACAAATTACAAATTTTTGGTTAAGTAGATCACACACGTTCTTAATAAATGTTACGTGTTTCTCTACAGGATATAAAATCATATATATATTCGCGAATATATATTCGCTTTCTCTCAGTGGCTGTGTACTAATTATAAACAACGCCCAAAAAGGAGTAACTAGAGCATTTCATTTATTTTCCTGTTTTTTGCAAGCGGAGATCTGTAATGTCCCAGTTGGACTCCACTAACAGGTGTGTTGCCAAAAAATCAAACTTTGTTTACCAGTTTATAGAAAGGATTTATTTCTATCCGATTAAACATTTTTCAAACGTTTCAAATTCTAGTTCACCATGCTCTATTAATCGCACTGCAATATAGAAAGAACAGCACTGTTTGTCTGATCGATAAGACACTCATGTGCACTACCAGGCAGTTGGTGGATAACTAGCGCAGCAGAAACCAAGTTAATAAAACAAACAACCCTGATCCGAGCATAATAGTTTCAAGAGCTTTCTAATGGAAAGAACTGAGCGCAAAATAAGCTTCTAGTGACCCGAGACAACCTGACAATGGTAAAGTGTTTATCGTATTTTCTTTAGTAACATCTGATTTACCGTCAAACTTCAATTTGGACAGAAAAAGTGCAAATATTGTTGAGACTTGTAATATTTTTAAGCAAAATTAGCGAGTTTAATGCTAATTTTATGCTAAAAGCCGATAGTAAATATGTAAAAAGTTTATTAACGTATCTTAAAAAGCTTTTTGTCGGTTTAACCCGAAAATGATCAGAATTTTTTTATTTGTTTGGTTCGATATACTTTGATATGTGCCCGACGATGAACAACTTTTATTGCTTATATTGTTTCATGAGCACAATAGAAAACGAAGGAGTTTTCGATTTTTGTGTTTCTTTGTTTCCCAAGACAGTCTCTCTTTCTTTTCTTACTATTGAAAATGGCTTCCTTTATTGATACCATGTCTGTTCCGCGGATCGTTGATCTGTTTATAATTTGTTATTAAATCCGATAAAATTTTGAAAATATTGTTCGCGTTCATCATTATTTTCGGTTTTGTCTGAAAAGATTTAGTAAATGGTAACAAAATGGTCAGTATGTGTGATGACCAGGGTTTATTACCTAAAAACGGTCTCTTTATATGGCACCAGAACGGAGACATGAGTAAGATAGGAATAAACAATAATTATGTACATCGACCTAAAGTAAATCGTAGCGAAATTATTTCAAATATTGAATGCTTATTTCACCATGCATCTGGAATACACAATGAGCTCACAGATTTTACAAAATGGGACGATGACTCTGCGACACTAAACAAAGAGCTACGTATACTCGAACCGAAACAACTAGCATTAGCTTCTGATTTGAAAAGCGTAACAGAGAAATTCTTTTATCGTACGATAAAGTCTAGTAAATTCGAGTCTTATGAAGATGATGAAATATTGAGAAATCTAGCGAATGATAAATCTATTTATATTACTCGTCCCGATAAAGGTCGAGGAGTTGTTATTCTTGATAAAATGCAATATATAAATAAAGTTGAAACCATTCTAAATGATAATACAAAATTCACACGATTAGATAAAGATCCGACAATTACACGGAAAAATTCATTAACAACACTACTAAGAGAAATCAAAAACGAGGGTTGTATTACAGAACAAGAATATCAAAGGTTCAGACCAGTCGGTTCTATACCAGCCAGATTATATGGTCTACCAAAAACTCATAAAATAGGTGTTCCTATACGTCCTATTATTTCTTGTTTGCAATCATATAACTATGGATTAGCTAAATTCCTAGCGAACATCATTACTCCATTACGTAATAGTAAATATTCATTGAAAAATACTGATGAATTTCTAACATTCTTAAAATCGAATCCACAGTTAGCAAAATTTAAAATGATTAGTTTTGATATTGAGAGTTTATTTACAAATATACCAGTGAAAGAAACTATAGATATTATATGTGATAAATTATATCGCACCAAACACAAATCAAAACTGTTTATCCCGGAAGTGTATTTTAGAAAATTACTTAATTTCGCTACTTGTGGTACTCATTTTATTTTCAACAACAAGTATTACAAACAAACAGACGGAGTATCAATGGGCTCTCCACTAGCCGCTATTTTTGCCGAGATATTCATGGTAAACTTTGAAGAACAACATATTTCCAAAATAATTAACAATGATAATGAATTAATAGTATGGAGACGCTCTGTAGACGATACGTTTACATTGGTGGATAAAGATCCCTACAAAAAAATATTTTATCGGCACTGGTTGTGCACGGGTGCGCACCGGTGCCGAATAATTTTTTTTCCGGGCACCGATGCGCACCGGTGCCGAATAATTATTTTTTCTGGGCACCGATGCGCAT